GTATGTGTGAGGCATGCCTAACAGGATGTTGAGGGATTTTTCTCTCAGATGACTTCTCTTTCATTAAGTGGTATGTTTGGTCATCTGAGAAGCTATGGAGGAAAGATTGGATAGATTTTTGGTAAAATCTTAGTCTATTTTCTGCTGCTATAACATTACCTGAGACTGGATAATTTGTAAAGAACAGAAATTTATTTGGCTTGTGGTTCTGGAGGTTGGGAAGTCGAAGGGCATGGCTCATCAGCATCTAGTGAGGGCCTTTGTGCTTGCACCATCCTATGGTGGAAGGTGGAGAAGGGTGGGGGAAAAGAGGAGGAAGGGGAGGAGTCGGGAAGTGTATACATACAATAGGAGCTTTACTCTGAACTAATCCTTTTTTGTCAGAAACCCACTCCCATGATAATGATAGTAATTCATTCAGAAGGGTGAAGCTCTCATGACCTAATCTCCTCTTAAAGGTCCCACCTCACAACACCATTGCACTAGGGGTTAGGTTTCTAGCACTAGAACTTTGGTGGGCACATTCAAATGATAGCATGTAGCATGGAGAAAATTTGAAATAGATGTTCTGGAGAATGCAAAACTGGGAAGAATAGGGAAGTAAAAATTTCTTAGAACGCTATGCAGCAATAAGGGTCCAGCTGAGACATAGTACATTTATAACAACATCAAAATGAAAAGTAATAATTTTTGTGTAGCCTGGTTATAGGAAATATAGGCTTTTGGATTCATCAAGTTCTGACTTACAGGATAGATATGACAATTAGAACAAAGAATTGAAAATAATGGGGAAACAATGGTGCAAGTGATTTTTGGGTGGATTAGGCAGAAGAAAGTAAAGGTGGGAGGAGACTGGTTAGATAGATGAAAATTGCAGGATGGGTAAGCCAAGTTAAAGGAGAGAGTGGGCCAAGAGACCAGTGATAGTGAATATGTTGAAGATAGGGGATTGGGGGGATGTTCACCTTCAGAGTTTTCCAGAAGGCATGTTGGAGAAGCTTGGCAAAAAAGGGTAGCAGTAGGAAGCCGCCAAGTATGACTTCGCTCCTGTGTTTAACAAGGACTGTTACCCCTCTGGAAATTTCCCTTTTGATTTGTGGTGCTGGTGATGGGGAGGTTGATAGTACCACTGTATTTTTCTCCTACCTCTTTGATCACTTTTTCTCAATGCCTTTTATTTTTTCCAGTTTGTCCCGCAGTATTTTCTGACTTGTCTATGCTGATTTCTCTTCTTACTCTATGTGAGTTAATAAATCTCATCTCCCTTTTTTTTTTTTTTGGTACCAGGGATTGAACTTGGTACCGGGGATTGAACTTGGGACCTTGCACTTTCGAGGCAGGCGGTGGAACCACTGAGCTGAATTCCCGACCCTCATCTCCCTTTTCTAAGCCATTGTTCCCTAATCTTTATTTCTAGCCCAGACGTACATACATACATACATTTATCTATTTATTTATTTATTTATTTATTTTTATTGTGCTGAGGATTGAACCCAGGGCCTCACTGCATGCTAGGCAAGCCAAGTCCTCCACTACTCCACCAAGCAACACCCTTGCCCTTGTGATGTCCAGATTGCTGGTAAAACATTATTTTTGGGTGTGTTTATGGGGATGTTCTAGAAAAGATTTGCATTTGAATCTGTAGACCAGTGATGACAACCTTTTAGAGCATTCAGTGATGCAAACAGCCTACTTACTGCGGCACATGTGCCATAGGTTTGTCATCACTGCTATAGACTTAGTGAAGAAGATTCACCCACACTGATGTGGGTAGGTATCATGCAGTCTCTGGAGACCTTACTAGAACAAAAAGGCAAAGGAAGAGCAAATTTGCTCTTTGCTTGAGCTGGATCATCCATTTCCTGCCCTCATACAAGGACTTCACACAGGCCTTTGAATACCAGTAGGATTTAGCACAATTAGCTCACTTGGACCTCCAGCTTGCACATGGCAGATTATCAGATTTCTCAGCCTTCATAGTTGAGTGAGGTAGTCTCATAAGTTTTTCCATGTATCAATACATATCCTATTGGTTCTGATTCTCTGGAGAACCTTGAGTGATACAATATCATACTAAAAATGAGTAAAATTTGCAGAAATATTTGTAGCATTTTATTCATAATTGTTAAAGCTTGGAAGCAAACAAGATATCTTTGAGTAGCTAAATAGATAAATAAATGGGTAAATAAACTGGTATGTCCAGACAGTGGAATATTATTTAATACTAAAATGAGCTGTCAAACTATGAACAGACAGAAAGAAACTTTACATGCATCTTACTCAGTGGAAGCAGCCGGTATGAAAAGACTGCTTTATGATTTCAACTCTATAATAATCTGGAAAAGCTAAACTGCAGAGACAGTAAAAGGACCAGTGCACTTTTCTCAAAAAAAGAGAGATTTTCAAACGTCACATGAAATCATTCTCCTTGCCCAGTTTTTTGCTCACCATTTCCATTTTTGATGTGATTTTTGGCTTTTTGCTCTTTTTATTCCCACTGATTCTCAGAAGATTAATTCATACAACCAGTAATAGCGTTTTGTAATGTTATGATGTTATCTGTCTGACCAAAGATCTAGTTATGGACATTTTATATAGTAATTAATTGATAAATATTTCTGCCATTGCTCAGCACTCTTGTACATAATTTTATTTACATACTCTTGTCATCTTAAACTTAACGTTTGTTAAACATTTGCTACTTTTCAGTATTTCCTTATTTGGCATCCATAATTTTCATCATCTTTGATTAAAACTTTGGTGTCATTTGCTTTCCTTCTCCTCTTGTTTCTCTATCCAGTTACTTTGCCAAATTGGATATTTATTTTTATTAGTGTAGTGAATGTTGTTTTTTTCATTGCTGCTAATGTCAACCTACTTTTGCAAAATTGTCACTAAGATGGTTTATTCATTGTCTCTCAATTCTCACATCTCTGAAGTACTATTTGAAAGTAGGTTGTTTATAGTCACCAATTGGTAAGTGGCATATGGCTACAAACTTGGGTCTAGTGCTTTTTTTTTTTTTTGGTACCGGGGATCAAACTTGGGTCCTTGCGCTTGCAAGGCAGGTGGTGCGTGGAACCACTGAGCTAAATCCCCAGCCGATAGTGCTTTAACACTTTACTATTTTATGTCATTAGTTTGAGATGTAAACATATGGAAAGCTGAGTAGGATAGCAATATGATATAATAAAACTAGAAAACACTCAAAAGTTTTCCAGTGTCTTCCCCAAATTACTACTATCTTTTTGGGAGTAGCATGGTATAATGGACAAAACCCCAAACTTTTGTCTAGACATCTGCTTTAAGTCCTAACTGCCATTTACATGAAAGCAACCTTTAGTTGAGTTACATGAACTACAATTCAGTGTGTAGAAATTGAGGATAATCTGCTATCTACCTTCATAAAATGGTTTGTGATTTTGTATATACTGACTTAAACATAAAAATATTCCTCATAGTGCCTGGCACCTGTAAATGTTCACTACAGTTAACTCTTATTATTACTGCAGAGTTTAGTGGATAGACATTTTTAGTGAGGGATTCTTACTTGGCATTCCAATAAATAAAGGCAACTAAATGTACTATTTCATGAATTCAGGTATTTTTCATTTACGTGTAAAACAAACTTACGTTCCAATATGTTAAAAATTGGTATACTGAGCCAGTTGTGGTGGTACATGTATAATCCTAGCACTTGGGAGGGTGAGACAGGAGGAGTGCTGAGTTCAAGGACACCCTGGCCTACATAGTGAGTTTAATAATAGTGAGACCCTTTCTCAGAAAACTAAGAAAATTGGCACAGAGCACATTAAAATGTACATATTATTTCTTGCTACAGTTTTCAAAGAATCAAAAGTAATATTTAATTTAAACTTGAATGAAGTCAGACTTTTTTTTGGTGGTGCTAGGAATTGAACCCAGGGACCTCTCATGCTGAGCAACTAGTGAGCTATATGCCTAGATATCCAGCCCTTCAGCAAACTTTCTAAAGTGTCTTACCATATGGAGTCAGATTCTTCTATGCAGTTTCAACTTTTGTTAAATACAATTCTTGTTTTTTTTCCTGTTTCTCCAGTGTAAATTCATTCCCATATTCCTGGTGCAGACCATTCATGATGAAAGAAGGAGCTTGCGTCAAAATGTAAATCAAGTATATTACATAGCGCACTTCCTTGTTCAGTGCTCCCCCCTCCCCCACTAAGTTATGTCTCAAAAAATTTAAGATACGGTCTTGCTAAGTTAGTAAGTTGCACAGGCTGGGCTCAAAATTATGATTCTTCTGGAGTGCTGGGATTATAGATGCGTGCCATCATGCCCAGCCTACCTTTTTTCTTTTTTAAATGTAAGATTCCCTTAATGAGGAAGCAGTACATTGATTTATCTCATTGGAGACCAATACTTTATTGAATTTATCTGTATGATACAAGTTAATATTTTAATTCTGTCAGGTATATAGTATATGATAGGGACTGGGAGAGTGAGTAGAAGTTACCACTGAGTATAAAAGGACTCATCATTTTTGACCTTGTAGCATCTGAATTCTTACTCCGTTTCTGGAATTCCTCTCTTCCTGATTTTTGGTGGTGAGCAAAACCTGCTTGTTAGTATTTTAAGTTCTTGCTTTCTCAGCCTCCATTTGCTAGCCCAGCAAATGTCTCAGTAGAGGAACTGTGGGAACTGGTATAGTGTGTCTTCGCAGGATCAGTTCTCCTACACTTTAGGTTATTAACCCGGTTCTTTGAAAATTACTGTCTACCAGATGTCTTTTCATAAATTTCCTACTAAATTAGCTGCAGTAGGTTTTTTTTACTGGAAAAAATAATTTTTTAAAAATCTTGTATTACTACTACTGCTTTAAGCAAACTGATCACAGGCAAATTTTGTTTTAATTTACACAAGAAATTTTAAAATGTTTTAGGCTTACTCTGTGCATCATGTTTAGACAGTAAAGATTGTAAATAATAATTCATTTGAGTATTTGCATTTAAAAATTTCAGTTTGCTTTATGGACCATGTGCTGCTATGTATGCCTAAAGTACTTGAAATGCAAATTTGCGAAGGCTTTGCCGTCTAAATGCTTGGCTGGATTAAGCGCCTGATGAGGATGGTTTTTCAGCAGGTTGGAGTAAGCATGCAATCGGTGAGTACTCAAGATTTATTTTTAAAATTCAGATGTTTAGATATTTTTAAGAACTTTTCTGAGAAAATAAACTATGTGACCATCATTTGAATTCAGTGTTTGTATACTATGTAAATCATAAAAATGAATCTTTTCCTAGCTTCCATATGTAAGGGGAAGGTATCCTTCCGGGTTATTTGAAAATTTTTTTTTTTTGTACTGGGGATCGAACTCGGGACCTTGCACTTGTGAGGCAGTTGGTAGAACCACTGAGCTAAATCCCCGGCCCAACTGAAAATTTACTAATGTATTCATATGATCATTAAAAGCAATGCATTTGTTATTAGTGGGGAAGAAGCTTAAATATACAGTAATATTTGACTCACACTTGATAACTTTGATGTGGAATTAATACTGAATGCTGTAATGATGTGGTTTATCAAACAAGTAAAAGGTAAGTCATGTCTCCTAAAATATGACAAATATAGCTAGGAAAAAGATATTTTAGTAGTATGATTGTTCTATGCCAGGGATGTTAGTTTTTATAACTATCTTCTACTGATAGGTAAATTTTGTTTTGATCTGCTTCCCATGTAGTTATTAGAGCAGTTGTATCAAGCACATTTTTGTAGAATACTTGCTTTGTTTTTTCTTTGCCTTTGGGGCTTGGGGGTTGGGGGTTAGTGATACTGGAGAATGAGCCTAGGTCCTTCTCACTGACCTACATCCCTAAACCGTTTTTGTTTGTTTGTTTTGAGACTGGGTCTCTAAGTTGCTAAATTGCCAAAGTTAGGGTTGAATTTATAGTCCTGTCTCAGCCTCCCAGAGTGCTGGAGTTACAGGCACGTGCCACCACACCTGGCTTTGTTTTTCATTTTCAAATTCAGAGTTTTGATGTCTGTGACATGGAATTAAGTTTTATTAAAGATACAGGCAAGTTACATCATTTGAATATGGATGTACTTTTTAGTCCACTATTTTCACCACTTTACAGGGTAAATTAATATTTTAGTACTGATAGAGAATATTGTGAAGCTAATGTGTTTCTTATTAATTTCAATACTTTATGTTAGAAAAGAAGTTACAGCAAATACCTAATTTATATTAGCAATGTAGTAATACTTAAGGATTATACCTTTCTTTCCTTTTGTGCTTTGGAGGAGTAATGTGAATGTGGCTAGGAATTCCAAGGAAGGAAGAAGAGAACTGAGAGAAGTCTTAATCTTTAGTTAGGGATTTTGAAAGTGTTAATGAGTTTCATCTTTTCTCTCTACCTCCCCTCTGATGCATGTGTTTTATTAAAAATTAATACTTTATACTTTGGAATTAAGAATGTACACTTTGTTGGCTCATACACTCCTTAAAAACTTGATTAGTGAAATGGACCTTCTTCCCAGAAGATACTTAAACATATGCATATAAATTTGCATGTTCTTTCAGGGATTTGTGAATCAAATTATATCACCTTGTTTCTTAAGAAAAATATATTTACTGTAGTTAGAATTAAATTTATAGTTCTCTTTGCTAAATATTTTTTCTCAAATAATAATATAGATTAGACTAGTTCATAACAAATGAATTATCACATAAAACTTGAGTGCACTTACCATGTATGAGATAGGTGACAACTTCAGATTGTGGCCTCACATATCACTTCTACTGTAGCGTTTCACCATGTCAGAAGAAGAACAAGTTGCTTTTCTGTTGTCATCCTCCTCCTTGCTGTTAGCACTTTCAAACGCTGTTACTAAATGTTATGGACTGTCACTACTAGACACAGACATGCACACATATACACAGAGACTCATTAAATTCTTTATAAGCAGTTTTTATAGGTAAAGCATAATGTTTCTGTTTAGTTATTTCTTAAGAGAATTTAATTATTTTCAATGAGATCAAATTGCCTAGTAATGATAGCGTTCTTCCTACCTTCTTCCCTGTCTCAAGAAATATTCATGACAGTTTAGAGGAAACCTACCTTCCCCAAAGCACTACTGATAAGACAAAGTTTTATCATTTTGCATTCACATTAGCAGTATTAAAAGTTCTAACTGGTTTACACCTAAGCTGACATTTGTTCTTTTAAAACCTTTAACTTAATCTCCCTAATAATGTATGATAAGATCTTGTTATTTTATTGATTAGTATTTTTCTGATTCTAGGGTTGCACACCTTTCCTTGTGGTGTACTGGCTATTTATCATCTTGTATCTACTTTTTAATTGGGTTGTCTATTAATGAGCTGTAAGAGTTCTTTATATATTCTGGCTGTAGGTTATATGTATTATAAATATGTTCTGGTTAAGGACTGCTTTTCATTTTCTTAACAATGTCTTTCAAAATTCTAAATTTTGATGGAATCTTACTTATCAATTTTTTTCTTTTATACATCATATTTTTCACGTCCTAGGAAATTCTTGCCTACCCTAAATTCATAAATATTTTCCTTTATAGTTTCTTCTTAAAGTTTTATAGTTTTAGTCTTTCATATTTAGGTTCATAGATCCTTTCAAGTTATTTTTATGTATGGAAATAAAGGGTTGAGGTTAATTTTTTATATACAGATACCAGGTGTTCTAGTACCATTTGCTGAAAACACTATCTTTTCCTATGCTCTTGAGTGAGTTTATATTCTATAAAATGTTAATGTTAAATAGTCTTTCAAAAATCAATGAACCATATATGTGTGGTTCTATTTCTAGATTCTCTGTTTTATTACAATGATCTATATGTCTTTCCTTACGCCAACATTGCCTTGATTACTATAGCTTTAGAAGAAGTCTTAAAATTAGGTAATAAATGTCTTCCAACAGTGTTTTTTTTTTTCTTTTTACTTTTCCAGGTCCTTTGTACTCCTACATAACTTTTAAATTTCAATATCCAATTCTTCATTTATAGCAAGTATACATAGATCTGAATTTTTATATATACCTTGTGTTTTCTAATCCTGCTAAATTCAAATACAAGTTCTAGGGGCTCCTAGAGATTTCTTAGTGTTTTCTCTGTAGATGATCATTTCATCTACATATAAAGATTTTACTTCTACCTTGCCAATCCTATGCTGTTTATTTTTATTGCCAGACTATTTTGGTTTGGACCTATGTTTCAAAGTTTAATGACAGATGAAGAGTAGGCATATCTGCCCTTGTTAGGAAGAAAGCATTGTATCTTCTCCATTCATATAAAGTGTTCTCACTGGAAGTATGGAGTACATGTCTTTAATCTGTTGAGAAGGTTCTGTTCTACTTCTAGTTTCCTGATAGCTTTTACCATGAACAGCTGTAAAATTTAGTCCAATACTTTTTCTGCAACTACTGATAGGATCATATGGCTTTTTCCTTTCCTTTGTTAAAATGATGACTTTTGGGGGTGGATCTTCCAATGCTGAACCAACACTGCCATCCCTATAATAAAACCACTTACTACATACTACCAGATCTGACTTCTAATAGTTTGTTTTGTTAAACAAATTTTTATTTATATTCATACTTTTCTCTTCCATTATCTTTATCCAGTTTTAGGATTAGCACAATGTTGATTTCTTAAAATGAGGGGAACCATGTTCCTTCTTTTTTGTGCTTTAAATGTTTGATATAATTTATCAGTTAAAATGTATACGAGCCTGCTGTTATCATATAGGTAGTTTTTCAAGCTAGGAATATACTTTCTTTAATAGGTGCTATTCAACTTTTGTATTTCTTCCAGAGTCAGTTTCATTAATTTGTCTTCCAAGGTACTTCATAAAAATTATCAAATTTATTTCAAAAAAGATTTTTTAGTGTGCTTTCCATATCATTTTAAATTCTGTAAAATCTGTGGTAATGTCTCCTAGATCTTGATATTGTAATTTTAAAAATGTATAATTGATATTGTGTAATAGGAAGAAAAAGTCTAAAGGAGTAGGGGAAGTGGGTGGGGTAGGGGGAAGGAAAGAGGGGAAAAGAAAAAATATGAGAAAAGGAAAAAAATGGAAACAAAGTCTTTGTAAATACGGAAGGATGGAGGGAGTGAAGGGAGGGCAGGGGAAGGGGAAAAAAATAAGAACCAAGATATATCATTGAAAGTACCAGATCCCAATGATGAATGTAACTATTTTATGCCTAAAATATACCAATAAACTTAATGGAAAAAAAAAAAGACAAAGTTCAGCCACAACTTAGGGTGGGAGATGCACTTGGGTCATATACCTTCCCAATGCTCTTGATGGTGACTTTTTGGTACCATCTGTTCGCTGTTTCTACATAGCTGTTTACAATTTCTTCCCCTCCATGAGGGCTGAACAGAAAAAAGTTTCAAGACCTAGTTCTAAGAGTTCCTGAAAGTTAACTGCTCTTTCCTCTCACTTTTTTGTATCATTCAATAAAGATTATGCCCTTTCTGAATTTTCTAGTCACTAGCTTACAGACCCTTGCTTCATATTTCTGGGTGCTAAGTACTGTACAATTCACAAGCAACAGAAGAAAAACTTTTGTTTTTGGTACTGGGGATTGAAATTGGGACTTTGTGTTTGCAAGCCAGGCACCAGAACCACTGAGCTAAATTCACAGCCCTAAAAACCACTACTCTTATAGAAAACACCTGGTATTGTTTGTTTTGATATTAAACAGGTGGAAAGATAGTTGAAACTTAGCTCTACAGCGTGCATAGTGAAGAATGTTAACGTCTGGCAGAAGCATTAGTTCCTGACCTTGGCAAATCCTTCTTAAAATTTTCTTTGTACGCTTTTTGTCCTCTCATCTTCAGGCAAGATCTGTTTCCTGGAGAGAAGGGAAGATTCACTTAGTCCGTATAATTGTCACATTATGATGTACAGAGTCATAGGAGAGTTTTGACTTCTGACTAAATAGAAGATTCAAAAGTGAAAAAATTGAATGGTGTAAAACAAAAAAATTTATTTTTTTTAAAACATCAAGACCTATTAAAATACATAAAATAAAATGTTTCCTTAAATATTGTGTTTTAGAATTATTTGCCCATGTTCTATTTCTTGGGTGGGGCTGTAACGTTTATTTTATAGAACAGTGAAGCTTATTTTCCTCTATTCAGGTGATTTTTCTGTCTCCGTTCTTACATTATTAAGAGTTTGTTATAATCCTCTGCATGATCATTGGTGTGAATGATGTTTTGCTCTAAGATTTAGAATAATTTTGCCTTAGCTGGGTGTGGTGTTGCACTCCTGTAATCCCAGAACTCGGAAGACTGAGGCAGGAGGATCACCATGAGTTTGAAGCCAGCCTTGATGGACTACATAGTGAGTTCAAGGCGAGCTTAAACTACGTAGTGAGACCTTGTCTCAAAAAAGCCAACCAAACAAACAATAACTTTGCCTTAAATTTTTTTCTTTTCTTTTTGGTAATGGGGATTGAGCCTGCAGGGTCCTCTGCCAGTGAGCTACATCCCTACTTGTTTTAAAATTTTATTAAAAAACCCTTGCCAAGTGGCTCAGCCTAGCCTAGAATTTATAGTCCTTTGCCTATAATAATAATCCTTTGCTGTAATCCTATAGCTGGGATTACAAGCGTGTGCTACAATACTCAGATATAATAATTATATTTTAATATTGATATCTTCTGTGTCTGTGTGTGTGTTTGTATGTGTGTATTGGGGATTGAACTCAAAACCTTCGCACTGAGCTATAGTGCCCTTATATTTTATTTTGAGACATGGTCTCATTAAGTCACTATGTTACCAGGACTAGGCTCAAACTTTTTTTTTTGAGACAAGATCTTACTATGTAGTTGAGGCTGGCCCTGAAGTCACTGTGTAGTCCAGCCTGGCCTTGAATTCACAGTGATGCTCCTGCCTCTGCCTCCCATGTGCTGGGATTATAGGCATGTGCCACCATGCCCAGTGGGCTCAAACTTTTGATCCACCTGCCTCAGCCTTCCAGAGTGTTGGGATTATAGGCATGTGCCACCTTCTTTTCTTTATATTGACCAGTTTTTCAGCCTATACCAACTTTTTTTGTTTGGTAGTACTGGGACTGTGCATGTTAGGCAAGCACTGTACCACAGAGCTATGTCTACCAACCCCTCCTATCTTTTATTTTGAGAGAAGATCTTGCCAAGTTGCTCAGGCTGGCCCCTAATGTTCAGTTCTCTTGCTTCAGCCTATGTGTAGCTGGGATTATAGGCATATGCCACTATGCCTAGCTGTACCATCCATTTATTTATATTTCCAAAGGAACAATTATAGTTTCTTTTGATTACCAGTCAGTGTAGATTATATAATACTTTATGGAACTCTACTCTCTTAAGAATCAGTGAAACCTTGAACATATATGATAAAAATTACTTAAAAGCTGAGGTAGTTGTATTTTACATACTTGCATAAACCTCACTTTGATTTATATTACTATCCCTAAGTTGGATTTGGTTGTTAAAATTTAAGAAATCAGGTTGCTTCTGTGCTCATTTTATAAGCTGTGCATGCTTTTAGAATGGTTTGAAAGTCTGGTTCTGAAGGTCTATTTTGGATTAGGTATTAGAGTCACTGTTTACTGACTGATTGCTTGGTCATATTGTTTTTGTTAAGGTAATTCTGGTCTTTAAATTAGAATGGCTATGGGGTAACCTTAAGGAGGGGATAATGTTCATTGTTCAGAATCTATATGTAGCTGATTTGGTATTATTTAGTTTTTTTTTTTCCCATTAAGTTTATTGGTACATTTTAGGTGTACAATACAGTTACATTCATCATTGGGATCTTGTACCTTTACATGATGTATCTTGGTTGGTATTAAGTCTTTAGGATATAGGTGAATATTAAAGTTTGATGAACTAAGTTTAATAGTCATGTTATTCTCATTCTTTTCTTTTAAAATTGCTTTTAATGGCATACTACTTTTCTTTACCTCTTCTGTCCAGGCTTTCAGGTGTAGCAATCAAAATGGATAGTTTTTCTGTTTAAGGGAAGATCATATACTGGGGGAGAGATTTCAAGGTACAATTTGTAATGATTTAACATTGTACATGTGTGTTTTTTGTTTGCTTTTTGCTCTGGGAGTTTTTGTTTTTTGCTTTATGCATAGCATAATGTCCTATGTACATTATTTCATCGAGTTAATTCTGCTCATTAAGACTACCATTAGCTTATTTAATGCCTTTATTCAAATTAAAGATAAAACCATTGAAGATGTAATGCTTGTTGAGCAGTGCAACTGGATTCATCTCCCCACCCTGCTCTTGTGCAGCAAATGGCATGCATGGCACAAATTTACATTCCAAACTTTGTACTAATTTGGATTTGTTTTGAAAAGTTCATTATAGCAAAAGTAGCTCATATTAAAAAAATAAAGTTTTTACTCCAAGTACTGTCTAGTATTATTTAAAAATTACTATTTTATATTTTGATATGCTATACATTGAACTTTCTTGCCTTAATAGCCAGTTATATATATTCTTTCATTTTGAAATATTAGCATATTTCCTATAACATTTAGAGCATCTTCATGCCATAATTAAATATGTTAGCATGTTGTACAGTTAATAGTCCAATGATTTATAAATTTGGCAGTTCTAGAAGTCTTGTAATTAAACTTTTGGTTTTTTTCCTACTTGGTCAGGTACTTTGGTCAGGAAAGCCATATGGTTCATCTCGAAGTATTGTAAGGAAAATTGGTACCAACTTATCTCTGATCCAGTGTCCAAGAGTTCAATTTCAGGTACTATATTTTATGTATTTAATATTTTAATATTAACATTTACAAGATGGTTTTTAAAATACTTTATTGATTTTGAATATTTTTCCATATTGATGCCACTACCAATAAAATAAGAGGAATAACAAACCAAAGTCAAGTCTAGTTTTAGTTCCTCTATGATTATTTAAGATCTTTAAGACCTTTATCCTTCTTAAAAATACAAAACAAAAACAAAAACAAAACAAAACAAAAATACTTATGTGAAGATTTAGAAGGATATGATAAACTAAGCAATTGTTAATTCTCAGGAGAACTCAAAGATAGGCCTCTGGGTACTTAAGGTATCACCATTGTTTTTTTAAAAATTTACATCTTTCTCTTTGGATAGCTACTTTGTTCCTTTGTTTTTAGATGTCTCTGGATGCTACATAAGTTTTCTCCATCATTGCTTTCAAACTCAACATTAAATGTAAGATACATTGCTTTATAAGGCCATTGTCAAGACAAAAAGGTAATTGTAATTCTTTGAATGAAGTGAGAATCAAACACTGAATTAGAGTACTTCTGAAGGCTCAAGTCATTAGCATTCTTTTTTAGTACCAAGTCCAGAGCAGCTCTACTCTTTGCTTGGGGACAGTACTATTTTCTTTTTTGTGCTTTTGTTCCTTATAATAGACATCATATGTCTTTGTTCTTTTTTAGTAATTCTCATGATAATAATAGGACAACATATTTCAGTTTACCATTTAATAATATAAAGTTCAACAGAGCTGTCTACCAGCTTTAATTAATAGATTAGCACATGGAGATGTGGAAGATGTACAATATTTAACTCATTATTTAGAAGCTCACATTTGTTGTTCATGCTTATTTGGTAGGACATTAGACTCATAAATCACTCCTCCTGGTAGATGAAGGTGAAAATTTCTTCCTAAATAAGGGGTTGAAATTAGCTGTTTTTCCTCTTTTTTTAAAGATTAACAAAGTTGTTCATTGCTGTGTTAATAATCTTGCTTGCAAAATTATGAGTCAGTATAGAAATTGACAGATTGGAGCTTTCCAAGAAGTAATTTTTTATCAAACTTCAGGCTTTCCTTTTTTAATGAAGAAAATGAAAATCTATAGTAGTAAGTCTCTGAAGTACAGTTTCTCAGAATTCAGTTTATTTAGACACAAATTACTGTTTGCTTTACTTGCCGGTTTCCTTCAGATTGTATTAACTAAGGCTTATTAACATTTTTTGATTGCTCAGTTCCATTAAAATTTTCTTTCTGGGGTTTTGGGTATAGCTCAGTGGTAGAGAGTTTACTTAACATGAATGAGACTCTAGGTTTGATCCCTAGCAGTATCAAAAAGAATTCTTTTTTATCTATTTAACCTTCTAGTTGCTAGAGAACTTACGTTCATATAGCTGGAGACATGTAAAAGGGACATGTAAAAGATATCTAATATTTTCTATTGCAGTTCAAATCTTCCTTGACAGTCAGTGGGCCAAAGTGCTACAGCTATGTATATTTACCTGGGAGGATTCTCTTTAAGTGTTATTTTCAATTGCTTAATGAACAGCAAAGGGTATTAGATATAATATAATATTGTGCTGGAAAAAATTAATAGTAAATGTAAAAAGCATATTAAAGACACCCATTGTTATGGCTTGTATCTAGATGTCCCCCTAAAGCCTCATGCAGTCATAGGTGGGCTTTTCAGAGGTGGCTGGATCTAGAGTGTGTGATGCTGGGGTCAAGGATGTGATCCTGAGATTTATTCATGATGAGATGCTAGGATTAAGGTGCCCCACCCTGAGTGTGAGTGCTACCTGGTGGGTAGCCTGGATAGATTATAAGGGACAGCAAGAGTGTTGCTGCTTGTTCCTTGTCACTTGCTGTTGCTACTTCTTTGCTACTGTGCTGCCTTCTGCCTGCCACGAACTGTTTCTCCTCCGTGATGCCCCTCTGCCATCCACCCTGCCTTGAAGCCAGCCAACTATGAATAGAAACCTCTACAAACTGTGAGCTAAATAAACCTTTACTCCTTCAACTTTAGATGTCAGTTATTTTAGCTCAACAATGAGAAAAGTAACTAAGATACCCAGTAAATATTGCAAGACTTGTCTATAAGCTCATAGGGTTTATTGGCTTCCTCTGTACTTCATTAGAGGGTGATAGGAATGAGTTCACTACCTTTCACTCAACACAGTATCTCCAGGCCTTTCATGTTTATTTTAATTGAAGAAAAATAACTTCCCCTAGACCTTTTATAGCTTTTATGTATATGTGTATTTCATCTTTGGGTCACAACTGTATACTTCTGCTATAAGCATTTGCTGTATTTGGATATTGTGGTCCTCTTGAAGGTAGAAATTCAGATAAAGACAAATAAGAACAGGTCCTTGTGTGTTCATGACACCAAAAGAAAATCGAGATCATAGAGGGACTTGTAAAATAGTAAGCTCTGGGGGATTGGGAGGAATGAGATGCAGTAGACTAGATTCATATTCAAATCACTAGGCTCTTTAAAAAAATACTTACACTGAGGCCTCGTTTTCCAGGGTGTTGTGGTGCTAAGGTCCTCAAGCGTAAGCACTCAGCCACTGAGCCACACTCTCAGCCCCAGGTTTTAATCTTATGACTTCTCTCACATATGCAGTAGTCCATTAAATAACATCTCATCTAGGAACTTCTTTCTTGCTGAAGGATCTGCACATAAGCCACTTATAATCTCCTTTTTTTTTCTTTACAGTGTTATAGGATTATCAAGGTACTATTCTGTTTTCAGGAATGAGTAGAACAACTTGAGATTGAGTGGCACTCAGTTGTTACTTAAGTTGTATAAAGTACCCATTTGCTGAATATTTGTTTGGATAAGTTTCTGAAATACATAAAATACATAAAGAAAAGTACAAAAGCCTGTCTTTTTTGTGGTGTTTTTTTTTTTTTAGACGGGTTTCTCTGTGTAGTTTAGGCTGGGTTTGAATTTACTGTGTACCACAGGCTGGCTTGGAACTCCTGAAGATCCTCCCACCTTAGCCTCTACAGTGCTGAGATTACAGGCATGCACCACCACACCCAGTTGTTTGCTTATTTATTTAAAAGTATTTTTTCCCTCTTTGGACTACAGATTACTTGTATTACATGCAAAACATTAGTATTTTGAAATCTTTCCATCTTAATCCAATTTTAGGTGTTTTTATTTTGTTTGGATATTTTGGGGGCCAGTGGTTAGGCTCTTAGGCTCTTGAATCTCCTGATATAACTTGTTTTCTTTGCTTGTCTACTTGTCCTCTCCAAAAGCTTTTTTTTTTTTTAACACAAGGTCTCGCTATGTAGTTCAGGCTGGTCTTGAACTCACTATGTAGCCTAAGCTGGCCTTGAACTCGGGGTAATCCTCCTGCCTCAGCTCCCACTTGTGCTACCACACCTGGCCCCAAAGCTGTATTTTAAGGCATTTTTGTATACTTGATGTTCTTAGTACATTATTAAAATGTCATTTTTTTTTCTGGTACCAGGGATCAAACTCAGGACCTTGTGCTTGCCAGGCAGGTGTGGCGCTGCTTAGCCATATCCCTGGCTCCTAAAATGTCATTCTTAATTTGTTTTATAAATTAATAATATTAAGTATTGATGCCAGAATAAATCCATATGCCATTAGCTGATAATGTTTCTTAATTTTTTATTCATAATAGTGCTTTTAATTACATTAGTATTATATGTTTGCATGGTTATTTTCCATTTAAAGAAGAGGTATTATTAAACTGTGACTTCCAAAAGCCTGACTTGACAGTAATAGCATTAAAAAGGTTATAAATAGGAGGGTAGGAGTGTGGCTCAGTGGTAAGAGTGCCTAGGATGTACAAGTCCTTGGTTAAAATAAAAAGGTTTGAATAATTGAGACCCAGAATAACCTTTATGACAAATAGGCTAATGAATAAATTTCTTTGGCCTGTTACATTTTTTTCCCAATTAAGTGAATTAAAAAGTGAATTTCTTTTTTGTTTAAACTTCTAACTTTAGGAAGTATTATATTATTGATTTTATTTTAAACTTCTTGTTCATTGACTCTGAGGCATTATCTATATGATGCCACCTAAATTTAATGTAGTTAAATTATCTTTCCACTTTTAAAGATAAATTTCAGGATATACATGCTTTTTCTTTCTTTTTTTGAGATAGTTTCACTTTGTAATTCACGCTGGCCTTAAGCTCACTATGTAGTCAGGGTTGCCTTGAACTCGCAGTGATCCTTCTGCCTCAGCCTCCCGAGTGGTGGGTTTACAGGTGTGCGTCACCATGCCTAGCTTGCATGCTTTTTCTTATATTTATTTCAAAAATACTGTTTCCTTCATCCATATGTTTAATTTTAGGTTACTAAATTCTGTTCTACTGTTCTTTGTTATTTTTGTTCTTTAATACTATTAAAAATCAAGAGATTTAGGGAGTTAAAATTTTTTAACACTATAACAACATTCATAGTAATTATAACACCACTATGTCAGTCATTGAAAAATATTCCTACAGTTAGTAAAATTCGACCACTTGTTTGTTCTTCACTTTGTACCCCCTCCTTTTTAAAAATTAAATTTGTTCAGGAAAAAAAGTGGTTTGCAATGCTTAGAATCTTAGTTTTTTTTGTTTGGTTTTATTTTGAACATTGTAGAATTAATGGAATATTTTAAAAAACTAACTTATAAACTCGGTGTGATGGTGCACACCTTTAATCTGAGCACTCGGCAGCTGAGACAGAATGATTGCCATGAGTTTGAGGACAGCCTGGGCAGTATAGTAAATAGTGAGTTCAAGGCCAGCCTGGATTACATAGCAAGACCTTGTCTCAAAAAAAAAAAAAAAAAAAAAGACTAACTTGTTAAATTATAGTTCAAATACTATATATATATAAATACTATATAAGTTCAATATAACTTATACTATAGTTGTATATACTGTTAGACAATAGGATATGACTAGTGATTCCTTTCATGGAGACCTTCAGTGGAGCTGGTAGAAAATTCTCACGTGTTTGTAATCCACCAGAGGTGAATTTTTTTTTTTAAGGTGAGTAAAACTGTTTTGGTGTCAGACGAAGGACTTTCCTTATTTATAATTTACAGCTTACTAGCCATGTGACAGAATGGAATTCCAGCCACCCACGAGAGGATGCAGTGGCATCTTTTGCTGATGTTGCATGGGTAGCCACAGAAGGAGGAGAGTGCTCAACAAGACTCAGGTAAGTTTAGAAGGCTGTTGGAGCTGAGGTGTGATATCTGATAATTAAGGATTTTAAGAGTAATTTGCAATGCTTCCTTTTAATAGCCTGATTTTGAGCTGTAATAACACCTTCTCCTGATGATTTGTTTTCTTTTCATTTTTAACACTCATTTATAAGTCAAATAATAATTAAGCCAGTTATAAGTTAATAATTAATAAGTTATAAGTTAATAAATATAATTGTGTACCGAGTCATTACGAATCACAGAATATCCAGCCCTTCAGAAGTATATTCTAGTATGAGAGACCAGAAAGGACTATTATAATATGTTAAGAACAGTAATTATTATGGTCTTCTTGGGGCAGAAGAATCGGACTAGATCATAGTAGAACTAACAGAATGTTTCCTAAAAATTGGGAGTTAAGATGAATTGTGATTCAAAGGAAACAATGTATAAGAGTTAAGTGCTTCCATTTAGTTGAAAGGATTTGAATAAAATATTGATGAGGGGTGTGTAGTGTGCTAAAGGAGATTAAAAGAGAAATCAGTGTTAACTGATACTGTGAGGTCCGCTGAACAATTATAGAAGGCTATTGTAGGAGGAGAGAGATTCATGAATGCAAGGCTTCTCAGGAGGGGATGCTACAGCTAAATTATGAGCCATCAGTAGAAGTCATTTGCAGGGGAAAACTGTGTTGCCAGAAGAAGGAAGAACTTGTTTTCTTTTTCTTTTTTCTGTTTTTCAGTTATGCTGGGGATTGAATTCAGGGCTAAATCATAAATTGCCTAGGCTGACCTTGAGTTTGCCTCAGCCTCTTTAGCTTCCTGCCTCAGCCTCCTGAGTAGCTGGGATTACAGCATGTGCCACCATATCTGGCTAAGAAATTGTTTAAAAGTACAATCAAGGTACAAGATGGAATGGTTGGGGAATACCAAATGGCTCAGTGAGGCTACACAGTCCCAGAGAAGTTTGAGCTATAGGAGATGAGGATAGAAAGCAGATAGGAGTTTAAAGGTCAGTCATGTTACACTAAGAAATTCAGGCTTTTTCCTGAAAGCAGTGTAGGACCAGGGAAGAAGTTTAAACACTACACTAATGTGATCAGAGTTGTATTTTAGTAAAATGAAACTGTAAACAGAATAAAGAATAGAGGGAAGACAAAGAAGGAGATAGACCAGTAGATTTTGACAAATTACAAAACTAGCAGAAGAAAGCTCAAAGCCAAGAGAGACTAGAAGGATTGAAAGGACATAGAAATTCATGAGATAACAGAGATTAAGGAAAGAGGACCCTAGAATAACCCCCAGGTTTTTGTCTAGGATAATGATAGGCATGGTAGAGTAATTAATAGGAATATAGGAAAACAGATTTTGTGGTGTGTGGAAATAGGGTAGGGTTGTCAAAACGAATGTATTATGTTTGAGTTTTATGTGAGATATTTATATTGATCTATAAAGTTTATTTAAATAAGTATTGATAAGGAAGGCTTAAGCTCTGTAATGTAAAGAAAAGATGGCCAAAAAAGAGAGTTCTCAAGAACCATGTGTAGAACATGAAGAACATTTGTATTCTGAATGAAGCCAGCATTTAGAAGTTAAAGAAAAGTCCTGCATTTCTACCTCCCAAACTAATAGTCAATCAAGAGGGAGAAGGGGAGCTAGAATAGGGTACTGTCATGGTAACATAGGTAAGAGGGAGTTTTCATTGAAGGGCTCTAAATTGCTTAATATATATTGTACAAATTTGTTGATATCTCTTGGATGTCAGTGTGTTATTGCAAGTGGATTATATTGATTCTTTCAGACTTGGGTGTTAAACCCAAATATGTATTTTGTGTGTGTGTGTGTGTGCGCGCGCGCGCGTGTGTGAGTTACAAAGCTCTGCTTTATAATTTTGTAATAAAGTTTTAATATAAATGCCAAAAAAATATACTCATGAATAGCAAATGCAGTCTAGGTAAATTGAAAAGCTACCAAATATTAACTTCACTTTTTAGTTGGAAGATTATCACTGACTTTAGCAATAATAATTTAATTTGACTATTAGCTAAATAAAGTAAGTATGAAGTAATCCAAGAGCAAAGAAGAAATTTGATTTGAATGACAAGTAAAAGGGTGGACATAGCAGTAGGTGAGCATAGATGAGATACTGCAGGATTAGCGGGTAAAAATTGATTGGAGCACATGAATCTCATCAGTAACTTATATGACAAAATATTTCAAAGAGGATATTGACATATTTAGCCACATCATTGGTACTTATAAAAGTTTTTACCTTTGTTTATTCATGTACCTTTTAAATAAATTTCATCATCTGTTTCTTCCCAGTGTCAGGCTAAGAAAAGAAACATTAATTGAAGCTTTGCAATAAACAAATTCCACAAATATTCCAAAATAATAAAGTAAATAAAGTTGGTATTTAATACATAATGCCAAAAGCTAAGAGTCCCAGGATTTCTCCATTAAAACACAAAGTAAAATGAAGAATTAGACAGCTCTCAAACAAAAATAAAATATCAATATCCAAGTAAAAGAAAACTAAATAAAATTTAATGTTGTTGAATATCCTAACAGGATTAGGTTTACACATAACGGAAGCTTTAGAAATGGTAAGTTAAACAAGATAGAAATTTATTTTTGTCTCAAAATAGTTTCTCTCTTAAAGATATCCAAGGATAGGTGATCTGGAGCTGATAGCAGCTCTATGATGTTAGCAAGGACCCAGCCAAGCACTGTCCCATCCTTAATGTGGGCTTCTATATCAAGGTTAGCTTCTGGCCCTCTGTCGTGCTAAAATGCCGTCTGATACTCAAGACTGTCAGCAGAAAGAGAAAGGAGATGAAAGTCTTTGTCGTAGTCATCTCCCTTTAAGTGGCACACTAACATTATGCCTACAATTTTGTTAGCCCAGCCTGGTCACGGGTCTGCACCAAACTTCAAGAGAAACAGGGAAATGTAGTCTCTTAGCTGGGCACAGTGCTGCCGTGAAATATGTCTTTGTGTTTACTCTTTTTTTTCTTTTTGGGGGATGGGGATGACAATTTTTACTAAGAGGAAAGGGGATATGCTTGTTGAAGCAAGGAACTTGCAGTCTTTGTCCCAACATATGTTGTGTACTGGTGAAAGTCTTGACTAGCATCTTGTCCATACTGACCTTTTACTGTTGCGCTTTAGCAGGACCAGTTATGGATAGATTCTTCACTTGGAGACTAGGACTCCTGAAACTGAGCAGAATTTGATGAGGAATATGTTTGATCACTTAATTGGAAAAACAAAGCTTTCAAAGGAACCTGTGACTTCAAAAACAGTTGGGCACAATTTATTGCTGTTGATTTCTCAACAGTAAGAAAGAGGAGGAAGTCGTTTAGGGGTCAAGGCACTTCATCCTTCTGTTCCTGTGCAGTATTGTCTGCCATAAAGGCAGTCCTGGTTAAATGGTTTGCCATTAGCAGTTGAAGAAAAGTAAAGTAATGCTAAATTTATATGGTTAAAGACTAGCCAGAAATGGGCAGATTTCTTTTTTATAATGTATTCTTAGCTCAGAGAACTTTAAATTTTTGAAGTAGGGCTATATAATACTTCTCTATCTTCCATAGAAGGATAGTGATGTTGATAGCCTGAATAAAATCTCAACTCCAGTACTGGCTACTGAACACACTGGCAGTGTGATATTTACCCTCAGCTATAAAACAGTAATATGTGCCTCATGGGATTTAGATTAAGTGTGAAGATGAACAGAAATACCCTAGCCTTCTATCTGACAGCAGAGGTTACATTCAGTGTTGGTTCTGGTCCTCTTTCAGTAACTTTCAAACATATAAGACTTCTTCCAAATGAAGTCTTGCTAGGGCCTTGGCTTACCACTCTTGAGATAGTCTTGTCCAGAGCTGGGAACTGTTAAGTATAATTGTTTCCTGTACTCATGTGAAGAATTCTGGTATTCACATGGGGATGTGAATATGAGCTCATTATGTCAATAGAGAATTCAGGGAGCAGTTTTCTGAGCCTATAGATTTTTGCAGGGTGGGTATAAGGGAAAAGTGAGATGAAGACCGAGTTGGTTGGTCATTCATTCATTCATTCATTCATAGTATTGGTGATTGAACCCAGGGCCTTTGCACTGATACATGTCCCCAGCCCATTTTATTTTATTTTGAGACAGTCTCACTAAGTTGCCCAGGCTGGGCTCAAACTTGAATTTGTCTTGCCTCAGCCTCCCAGAGTGGTAGGATTACAGGTGTGGACCACCATGCCTGGCTGAGGACTGTTATTTATTTATTTATTTTGTTTTTTTGAGATTCAGTCTTCTTGAATTCACTCTGTAGCTCAGGCTGGCCTTGAACTCACAGCAATCCTCTTGCCTCAGTTTCCCAAGTGCAGGGATTAGAGGTGTGCTGTTGCACAGCCCAGTAGGACTGTTCTTTAAAGGGAAAGAATTTAAGATAGAAAAAAGCCTTGGAGATGCTGGCCAGGAAAATTTAATTGTAGAAAATAGGAGGAAATGGATTAAATATACATATATATATATATAT